TTTGTTTTTAAATTTCTTTTTTGGTAAAATTTTCAAAATATACGTAAGGGGATATACGTAAATCAGAAGCATGCAGGTTTGTGGAAGTTAACTTCCCGGCCTCTGGGACTCTGAAAGTCTGCCTGTTTTGCAAACCCTTATCTCTGCACTTGTTTCTGCATTGCGCTTAGAGACTGCCCAGTGCAGAGGCAGTTTCCTGGCCCTTTCCTTCAGCTCTGGGTGCTGAGGCTGGGCGACTTCCAGTGCAGGCAGTCCCATTGCACTTATCGCCGATCTCCCACCGGGGTTTCAATTGGAGAAGTCATTGTTTAGTTCCCCTTCTAAAAGTGTTGTATTGTGTAATTATCCTGGCTTAGGAGATTTGGGTTGTTTTTAAACCATGTGAATGAATTGGCTATTAAGAAAGTCCTTTCAAAGGTCATGGTGATCTAATTCAATTGTTAAAACTGCTTTAATAACTAGGGTGCAATAAGACACAAAGCAGGGTTTTTTTGTTTTTGTTTTTTTTTTTGTTTCTCACAAAATAGCATTATCTATCTACCTATCTATCATCTATCTATTTATTTTGGTTGTGCAGATCCAACATACTATCTAATAAAGAGGTAATATGCAAATTTACCATCACTCCAAGACACAAGATGGCCACCCCCATGTGGTCAAAGATGGCTGCCACCATATGGACACAAGATGGCCAACACAAGATGGCTAGCAGGGGAAGGCAGTTGTGGGGTCCTAGGCCAGCAGGGGAAGGAAGTTAGAGGTGACTGGGCCTGCAGGGGAGGGCAGTTGGAGGCAACTGGGCCTGCAGAGGAGGGTAGTTAGGGGTGACTTGGCCTGCAGAGGAGGACTGTTGAGGGGAACCAGGCCTGCAGGGGAAGGCAGTTAGGCGGAACAAGGCCAGAAGGGGAGGGACATTGGAGGGGACTAGGCCTGCAGGGGAGGACAGTTAGGGGCAATTGGGCTGGCAGGGGAGCAGTTAGGCATCGATCAGGCTGGCAAAGGAGTGGTTAGGGGGTGATCAGGTTGGTAGGCAGAAGCAGTTAGGGGCAATCAGGCAGATAGGCAGGCAGGCAGGCAGGCAGGTGTTTGGGAGCCAGCAGTCCTGTATTGTGAGAGGGATGTCCGACTGCCCGTTTAGGCCCCACCTCACAGGGATCAGGCCTAAATGGGCAGCTAGACATCCTTTGAGGGGTCCCAGATTGGAGAGCATGCAGGCTGGTTTGAGGGACACCGTCTCCCCCCCTACCCCCCTGTGCATAAATTTTATACACCAGGCCTCTAGTATAAGTCTATAATGGCTCACCCTCCTTTATTAAAAAATAAAAGACCAAATGTTAAAAAATATTATAAGGTGTCAACTTTGTCTTTGCTATTTTAATTACCCTTTCCCCAACTTTGTCTTTGTTATCTTAGTTACCCTTTCCCCTGTTTTCCTGGACTCCAAAGCTCTTTCTTCTTTATCTTGTTCTCAACACACATGCCAAATGGCGATGACAGATGAGGGTGTAAATTGGGGTCTTAACCTGGGGTTAGTGGGTCAATGGACCCTTTAAATTTACATGCATAGTGGGTGTGTATTTATTTATGAACTTTGTTTTGGAGAGAGGTTTCCATAGATTTATCAGCTTTTTAGGAGGATCTTTGGGCCCAAAATGGTTAGGCAAAATGGTTAGGAGCACTGGCTTAAATAGTTATTTCTTTCTGGAGCTTTTGATCTTTCTCTGACCCCTGACACACTATTTTTGTATTTTATTTTTAGTAACCTTTTTTTTTGTATTTAGATTACACAATTAGAAGGAATAAAATCCATTTATTTTATCAGTCATTACCCAGAAATAACTATTGTATATATATTGATACATAGTTATCTATCAACCTATTAATCTATCAGTCATCCCTGTTCACCTACATACACATTCATGCACAGATAAAAAAAAAATAATTCTATATGAATTCTTTCCACTTTGCTAAATGTAGATCAATAACACTTTTGTTTAATTGCAGCAGAGTACTCTGTTGTATGAATATGTTGTAATTTATTTAGCCCCGTATGGATGGACACAGATATTTAGATTTTAACAGGAATCAAACCGTAGGCAACAAGAATAGAAGAAAAGACAGGGACTTGGGCCTTTTGCTGGTCACAAGCGCTCTCTTCCTTCGTCTTACTCTTCCAAGCCCCACATCAAAGGTTAGGCTCTGGACTTTGGGTCAGAGAACATGTTTGCTTTTTCCACAAGAAAAGAAAAGAAGAGAGAAATGTACTCTTGCACTCTTCCCTCTAAACCCCAAGATAGTGACAGGAATTGGCAAGTCATTTCAAATAAAGAGTATAATAGTTTTAGATGATCGATGGATTTCCAAGCAGCCTTCTTTAAGATATCACTTCTCAACTTTTAGTGTTCAAATGAGCCTAATTTTATATAGTTTACCAAAAGAAAGCACTCCTAAAAATTACTGTGGAAAAAACCTGAATACTTTAATTGTTAAAAAGCTTGCATCATATAACCTGGGAGAGACTTTACCACATATAAATATGTATGATTTCGTTCATTCTCTGTGTGTGTGTGTCTCTATTTCTCGGTGATATATTGCTGAAAGAGCTGTTGCTGATTGTCTTTTCTCTCTTATCTTTTTACCAAATGACACTACCAGATTAGAGGCTGCCCCAGTCAGCACCCTCGGGTCCAGGGCTAGTAACCGTTCCCATCTGGCTCCCTGTGATTAATGGTGCTTATGTCGTAGCGTGAATAACGGTTTGCTGTTCAATCAGCTGATACTCTGGCCATTAAAAAAATTTACTCCACAAAAATCAATAACCCATGGTTTTTGGAAAGGGGCAGTTTTCTTGAACAGTTATTCTCTAAGCCTGCTTGTAAAGATAAACAATCACATTACCATACCTATTGAAAACAGTCCAGGCAACCAGAAGAAATATAAGCTCACAGATAAAGGATGACCTTCAGTAAGGACAGGTAGGAAGCCTTTTTAAGGAAGACAGAAGGCAGCCAGAGAAACCCAACACCCTGGTGAGAGTCTTGAAGAATGTCACCATTTTCACAGATCCAGCCAACAGCACCACCTCAGACAGCTCAAGACGAGTTTCCAGAAAAGCGTGGAAAATAAATTAGCTTGATGAGAGCATTCTGTGACCGACTTAATGCCACTCACAACTCTCCATGGACTTTAGCTACAATACAGAAAATCAATTTTATTTATTTATTTGCCTCGAGTGTGCCAATTACAGCATTGCCACTTAGGAAAAACACACAAACTCTAAATAAGTAAATTTGCCAAGGTGATGCAATCTCAAGTGAAATAAAACGGAAGATTGCTTTTTCAAGAGAGAGTATAGGTAAAGATAAATCTTAGATGCTTTATTTTGCGGGAAATGTAGCCTACTTTTAAAATGATGCTATTGCTGAAACTGGTTTGGCTCAGTAGATAGAGTGTCAGCCTGCGGACTGAAAGGTCCCAGGTTCAATTCTGGTCAGGGGCATGTACCTTGGTTGCTAGCACATCCCAGTAGGAGGTGTGCAAGAGGCAGCTGATCGATGTTTCTCTCTCATCAATGTTTCTAACTCTATCACTCTCTTTTCCTCTCTGTAAAAAAATCTATAAAATATATTTAAAAAAATTAAAAATAAAGATGGTATTGACCACGTGCAGCATCGTGTCTGAATCGGGTCAATGATCCTGATTCTCTTGTAGTTTACTTCACATGCCTTCGGTGAGTGCTTTGGGTTGTGGCTCACCCAGCCTGTTTTCGCTGTGGCGGACCCTGCCTTTGTGAGCAGCTCCATGTTTTGGCTCACACTGGATTATGCCTCACCGATGTATGCCCATAACTTGCCATCTTAGGTATCTAAAATGCCAGGAGCATTTTGGGAATTCGAATTATACCCGTTTGGGCCTCTTCGCCAGGAGCTTCAGCAAAGTGAAATTCTACATGGGAACGTGAAGATTTCCCATCATAGTTTGCTTTATTTATCGAGTTCACAGCCCAGATGGCCAGCATCCTTGTTTTGATTGCAAGCTCTCTAAATAATCACCAACGTACATAACCCACAAAAGAAAGGAAGGAATGACACTGAGTGCCTCCTCTCCGCACAGAAGGCAGAGCCCCTTTACCGAGGGGATGAGTCCCTCAGGTTGCTCCCGCTCCATGAAGAGAGGGCGAACCTTCGGCGGAGTGCTGCGGTAAAAGCATCATGTGTCCCTGGCCCCACCGTGTGATGACCGGGAGCCGGGAAGAGCTGTTTCCTGTCACCGCGCTGCCTCATTCCCATTTACGTGATCGGCAGCTGTTCCTCTGCTAGAAGTTTAAAGGATCCCAAGGACTCAGATGTTTGTTTATGGGAGCTGCCTCGGGCTTCTGCAAACAGGCTTTTGTGCTGCTCTCCCAGTCTTAAGAAAAGGCTCTTCTCAGAGCCGCCCTTCCCCCCTCCCTGCTCTTGTCTGGTAACCTGCTTCCCTTCAGGGAAGAAAACCCAATCAAGGGCTCCGGGGCTCCAAACCGGCCAGAAAGGAGGCGCCAGCAGTGGGGCGACCTGAGACGGAAAGGAGTCGGGGGGGACGCCACATCCTGCGTTTGTGCTTTTGTTTTTGAAACTTCGAGTTAGTTGCCCTTAATGAATTAACCAGCAGCCTAGTCATGGAAAATGTTTCTCCCGTCCTGCTGGGGGAGCCAGATACTGTAGCTTTGCACCAGGAAGGCTGTTGATTCGGGCTTCATTGTTGGGCCGGTCACTGGGGAGCTGGTGGCCAGACCGCAGGCCACACACACTTCTGTGCAAACCTTCCGTGTGCTGGGCCGGCCCGGTATTATCCGCGCGGCCGGAGCGGTGGCCGGCAGGAGATGGTGAGCCTCGGCGTTCATGTCTTGTCTGTGTGTCTCCTCGGATGCAGGATGCTGGGCTCAGCGTGGGGGCAGCGGGGAGGGGGTTGCTGATCCGGGAGCGTGTGTGAGTGCTTTGTGGTTAATGCTTTTTTTCCCCCCCTCTGTGTCATCCTCCCCAGAGTTCCGGGAACGCGTCCTACCGCTGCTCGATGTCTTCCTCTGCGGATTTTTCCGATGAGGATGATTTCAGCCAGAAATCTGGCTCCGCATCTCCAGCTCCTGGGGACACGTTACCCTGGAATTTGCCTAAACATGAGAGATCGAAGAGGAAGATCCAAGGGGGCTCGGTGCTGGACCCCGCCGAGCGGGCCGTGCTTAGGATAGCAGGTAAGGAAGGGATGGAGCCCGGAGGAGAGTTGCGGAAATTCACCCACCAGCTCCAGGGAGGGTGGTGGAGTGGGGGTGGTGAGGGTGGGAGGGTGCTCAGTACATCAGCTGTGTATCTGGGAGCTGATGAACTGGGCACAGATTTGTGCTCGAGGTGGTGGAGGGAGGTGACCATATTTACTTTATGCCCCGATTTATCGGTAGAGCGATTTGCCCTGCCTGCGGCTGGTGACTAAGCTGTTTGGCCCAGCCTTCTGGCTGGATGAATCGATAACCTTCGAAATGCAAGGAGCTGTTTACACACATCTGCGTTAAACTTTCCTGTTTACATGCAGTAGCCACCGTGGCAGCCTCAGAGTACAGTACGAGCTCCAGCAATCACTCGTGTGTTTGCTGGAAGCTGTGAGAGCCTTCATTTTCCTCTTTGCCCGGGAGCACTGAGCGATGCTGATTTCACCGGGGTAGGGTCCTGGTGTTTGGTACCCAGGATGCAGAGGGCATTCCGGCAACTCAGATGCCATTTCTTTCTTTCTTTTTGTTAGTGTAGCATCCCTGTGAGCACCCTGTAGGAGCTCCGGAGGGTTTAGCCGTCACGCGTTCCTGATTAATTAATACATGGGAGGTGCCAGTGTTTCTGTGCTGTTAACCGGTGTTCCCTTGCACTGGCCGTCAAAGTCCAACCAGAAGTGATGGCTCATCTTACCTAGTTTGAAAGCTGAGAGCGCCTTGGAAATCCATCCTCCCACCTGCAGGGCCCGTGGTGTGTGTGTGTGTGTGTGTGTGTGTGTGTGTGTGTGTGTGTATGTGTTCTGTGCATGAAAGTTGCTTCCTCGCGTGGTTGCCCCTCCCTTCCTTCAATATATATTTTTTCCTCTCGGAAATGGTTATGGGTATGTTCATGGGGCTCTCTTGCAAAGGCCAAAGGCTCCATGTTTCTCCAAATTGGCTTCTGCACCCAGCAGGTCAGCCCCCCTTTCCTCCCCATCTCCTACTCTCAGCTCTGGGCCCCCTCCCACCCAGTTTGCTTTGCTTCCTTCTATAATGCAAAGTTGGTATTTTATCTTCCTCTGAGGGGGGCTGTGAGGGGCTAGCCAGGACCGCAGCCTCCTTGGCAACTGAGAGTCTCCCGAGAGCCCTCCCCCTCCCTCCCCCCAGTGGGATTTTTTTCTGATTACAGGGAAAAACAAACAGCGCCCAGCCAGCCAGCCATTCTCTGTTCTGGGTTTCTGGGGCAACAGCCTGAGCTTCTTCTGGCTTCCCTTGTGAGGTGCTGGCTGGTCTCACCCAGGGTTTTGGAGTAGAGCAAGGGGAGGAGGAGGCGGGATGGAGGTCAGAGGGACTGTTTGAGAGCAGGGAGAGTGAGCAGGGGTGGTGGCTTGGGGAGTTGGGGCAGACCTGGCTCTCAGTGTCCGTCTGGAGTACCCAAAAGTGTTTAGTCATGGAGGCCTGACTTCTTGCCCTGTTGAGACACCCCCGGCCTGCCCTCCAGCGGGACTGAGGCACCGGGAGGGGCAGTGCTGGTGACAGATGTCTGGCTCAGCAGAAAGGGAAGACTAGAAAGGTGGATGGGAGCGAAGTTGTTGGGGTTTTGTGCAGAGCCGAAGTTGTTGGGGCTTTGTGCAGAGTCTGGCTGTCGGAATGGGAGGCCTGTATTCCGTATGTTTTTATGGAAGGTAAAAGGTGGCTTCTGGCTCTCCAAACTGGCTTCTGCATCCAGCAGGTCAGTCCCCCTTTCCTCCCCATCTCCCACCACCTGATGGTGGTGGCAGAGGTGGATATTTTGATTTAGGTAGTGAAGGAAGGGGGTTTGAAAGAATAACAGAGCAGGTGTGTGTCTGGAGAATGAGAGTATGTAAACTGAGGGGGATGACCGGCAGAAAGCCAAGGGGAGCTGGTGGGAGTAACTTGAAATGTTCACGCAAAGTGCGGAAGAACTCGGGATGTCATGGACAAGCAGACGCTGATGCTGATGCTAGCAGACTGTAGACTCCCTGAGGGCAGGGGCCATGTCTGACTTTTTTTTTTTTTTGTAAAATCTTCATTGAGTGATTTGTGGGATAGCCACGAAGTCAGTTGTAGTTGCTGCACGCGAAACCTCAAAGTGACATACTTTTAAGGCTATATTAATTGGCAACAGAATGCAACAAAATTAAACAACGAACAGAACAAGCAGCCCTAGTACGGAAGTGTACTACTTTGTTTAAAATAAATATTGGTAAAATGCTGTTTGTGCTGAAACTGGTTTGGCTCAGTGGATAGACCGTCAGCCTGAAGGGTCCCGGGTTTGATTCCTGTCAAGGGCATGTACCTTGGTTGTGGGCACATCCCCTGTAGGGGGTGTGCAGGAGGCATCTGATTGATGTTTCTCTCTCATCAATGTTTCTAGCTCTCTATCCCTCTCCTTTCCTCTCTGTAAAAAATTAATAAGATATAAAAAAATGCAGTTTGCTACACAAGTCATAATCAATAATCATACATGGAACATAGACTTGGGGGCCAGTTCACAAATATCTGTGGCTAAAATATGAAATTCAGATGTATTAAGTGTGAAATTTGCCACTGATCACCCAGTGTGAGGATCAGGGAACAGGCCTTCTGAGGGAATTTGGTCCTGAGGATAGTCTGCAAACATACTGTTAATATGTCCGGAGTGGGAAGAGATTAACCAATGTGCTTATATGTGTATATGCATAGCCCACGGACAGACAATAGCGCAGGGAATGCCTGGGGAGGGGAAGAAAGTGGGGTGGAAAGGGTGAGTGTGCCGGGAGGCGACATCTCTAATACTTTCAATAATAAAGATGAAAAAAATAGATTTTTGATTTCTAATTTTATTAGACATTTTCTTTCTCTGCCTAAAGCTCACCTTATCTCTGAAATTCATCCCTAGTAAGAGATGGGGTGAGGCTCTGACATGTATGAGGATGTCCATAGTGTTCATTACTTAGTAGTAAAGGATTTAAAAGTTCAATATTTTTTGTTTTTTAAGGGCATAACAATAGAATTGAATATGAAAATGTTTAGAGCCAAAAAAAGACCAGATGATCTGTGGAATGCCTTCATGCACTCACATTTTATATATATTTATTGAGCCTCTGGAATAAAATGAAGAAAAACACACAGCTCCGCCTTTAAAGAAGTCATAGTCCAGTATGATAAATGGATGTGCTGGTAGTAAACATGGTGTGAGAGATGAGGTGTAATGGCTGTAAGGACCCGATAGGAAGAGAACCCAGAGGTGAGTCTAATTAACTTGGACAGGGAAGGGCAGGCATGGGGCTCCCTGGAAGGTTTCTGAGGGGGAGGCGCCACTGGAGGCGAGATTTAAAGAGCCCGATGGAATGAGGGAGAGAGGGAAAGCCATTTCCGAGGGCTGGGAACTGCAGGGACAAAAGTAGGGAGGATGTGTCGCTAAAGCACGGGGTTTGGGAAAGCAGAAACTGGGAAGGTGCTTGCGTGCGATACTGAGGAGATTGGACTATTTATACTTAAGTGGTGGGGAACAGCTGAAAGGTTTTTAACCCGTGCAGTGACATCATATGGTTTACATTTCAGAGAGTCTTATTGGTGATGGTGTCATATGTTGGCGGACACTTTATATTTTTTAAAAGTGCTTTTGCATTTATTATATTTTCTTCATTTTAAAGTCGTAGAGTGTAATGTATGCCTCTCCTATCTCTTAGAGGGGTCCATGTGAGAATAAGCTAGAAGAATGTAAGGAAAAACCCATTGTATAATGCTTTTTACATAAAAAACAGTACAGATAGGCTGTTCTTAGCTACAGGATAGCTTAAATTGAATTTTTCAGTCTTCCAGTGCCTATGAGGGTACATGGTTTATCACTGACAATGTTACATTAAAATGCAGATTTTTTTTTTCCTTTTTGATCTCATGTGAGTTCTCTGAAGTTGGAGGATGGTAAGCAGAGTCAGGTAAGCTCATCTGGCCAGGAAGTGGTAGAGCTAGGATCTGGATTCAGGCAGGCTTGACTCCAGAGGCCCTGCTGTGCTTCTCTAAGGAATACACTATTATCATCAGCAGTCTGTCCCAATATTGCCAATTCCAGGAATGCACGGGGCAAAGGCTGTTTTTGCAGACAACCCTAAATGCTGCTTCTGTTCATTTTGATGGCTCCTTAAATGGACATTTAAAATCATTTAAGTGTGTGCTGATGATATTCATAAAACTGGGTTCCACTAAGCATCAGTCTCTGATGAAAACTCAGACTATGCCCTCAATGACCTTAGTCATTGTGATGGAGACAAGGCAGTTTTGAGAATCTACCTCTGTACATATGGAATGACTGTAAATGGTCTGTAGATGAAATGACTCTTAGGAATCTAATTGCTAACCCTCTCGTTTCCAGAAGGTGTGCCATATAATACATGTTTGTTACTTCAGGAACTAATGTTCACAAAAACACCTATGTTTTCAAACACCTTGCGTTGGAAAGAAAACTCTAGTGATCCTAAAGGCTTAGTGGGACATGGGATCAAACTCAGATTATAAGCTAGTGTTCAGAATAGAAAAGAGAGATGTGGTCTTGCTTGGTTTGGAATAGGCCAATTGCTGAAGAGCATAAAACTTCCCAATGCAAACTTTTTTTTTCCTCAAGAGTACAGAATAGAAAAAAGAGATGTGGTCTTGCTTTGTTTGGAATAGGCCAATTGCTGAGGAGAATAAAACTTCCCAATGCAAACTTTTTTTTTTCTTTCAAGAGTACTCACCTACTTCTAAGAGTTAATGGAAGGAAAATGGTCCAGATTCACAACACTGAAAAAAGGAAAGAAAAACTTTCACCGAGGATAAAGAGTTAGTACATATGAAAGGAAGACACAAGGAGACAAGATGTGGGCTAGAGGTGGAGTTGTCCTAAGACAGATGGTGAAGCCTGGCTTGTGTGGCTCCGTGGTGGAGCATCCATCTATGAACCCGGAGGTCACAGGTTGATTCCAGTCTCAGAGCACATGCCCAGGCTGCCGGCTCTAGCCTTCGTAGGCGGCTTGCAGGAGGCAGCGGATCCGTGATGATCTCATCATTGACGTTTCTATCTCTCTCCCCCCTCTCCCTTCACATACCTCAGATGCTGAACAATGAGCTAGTTTATCCAATGATGATAATAATAACTGACACTTATAAAGCTATTTAAATACGGCAACTTCAGGAGGTAGGCACTGTTATCCCCATGCTACTGATGAAGAGAGGCTCAGCGAGGGCAACTCGCCTGTATCAGAGTTATTCCGGAGCCAGGATCCCCTCCAGAGCAGCCTGACTGCATGGATAATCTGAAATAGATCCACTTACTTACACGCCTGGGTACCAACTGGCTCCCCTTCAACTCACCCACGTTAGCGTCTGATACAAATGAATGGTTCCCATTTTTACTCGAGTTCAGCGCTCACAGTACTGTGGGGAAGGCCTGCTGGTGGAGAGGAGGAGGGAGGGGACCAAGTAAGCCTGGGGAGTGAGCTGTAAACTGCTGGGCTGTGGCCGTCGGGGTGGCAGCTCCGCCGGCCGGCTCTGGGGGGCGGAAGGGAGGGGCCGCGGGGCGGGGCGGCCGGGCGCGCAGGCGCACACGCCGGCTGTCAGGCCCTGATGCGCGGGGCCACCTGCAGAGGCCGCCTGCTCCGCCCCGCACTGTGCCCCGGGCCTGGACCCCCGTGCCCTTCCCGCTCTGCGCTGCCCCGGAGTGACCCGAGTCCCTAACCCCGAGTCCTTCACGTGCCATAAGCAGGATTGCACACATGCATGTCCCTCCCCCCTCCTCCCCGCCACCCACCCCTTCCCACGGAGGAGGACAGTGGCCAGCTCCCCCGCACGCAGGGGGCTGCACCCAGCGCTGGCTGCGAGCTGCGGCTTTGCTGCTTCCCAGGCACCTGTTGTGGGTCCCAAATAGAAACCTCGCCCTTGGGGATCCGGGGCGGCCGGCCAGTGTCCGGGGGTGGGCGGGCTTGGCCGCGCGGTGCAGCCAGGAGAGGGGGGTCCGGGGCGCGCGGCTCAGCCTCGCAGGGAGGGGCCGCCGGCGCCGGGCCGGAGCCCAGCCAGCCGGGGTGCTGACCTGCGGGCTCGCCCTCCTCCCTCCCTCCCTCTCCACTCCGCCCGCCCTCCCTCCCTCCCTCTCTCCCGGGCGAGTGTCTGCGGCGCGGCGGCCGGGAAATGCCGCAGATGCGCCGCGCAGCATCCCGGGCGGAGGCAGCGCGCCTGTCCCCCCGCACGGCCGCCGCCGGCTCGGTGGGGCCCGGAGCGGGCGCCTAGCGCGGCCAGGGCGGCGGCCGCGGCAGCTCCGAGGGTCCCGGCGCCTCCGCCCCAGCCCGTCCCCACCCGCCCGCCCGTCCCCGCCGAGCTCCGGGCTCCTCGCCGCGCCGGTCGTGGCGTGGCGCTGTGGTCACCGCCCCGAGCTCGCCGCCGGGATTTGCTGCTGCCGCTGCCGCTGCCGCTGCCGCTGCTGCTGCTAAAACCCCAGAGCGGCGCCGGCTCCCGGGCGCGGGCGGCCCTGCAGCGCGGCCAGCCCGGGGCCTGGGCGTCTCCCCGGCCGCCCACCCCCTCGCCCCCGGCTCCGCGTCTCCGGCTGGATCGGCGCTCGCCCTCCCCGCTGCTGGCCGCTCCTTCCGCTTCTCCTCCCGTTCTTGCTGACTAAGACCCTGTCCTGTCCCGGCGCCGAGGGGGCGAGGAAGGGAGCCGGCCGGTCATCGCTCCCATCAACTTGGGCATGGCGGGGTACCTCTCCCCGGCCGCTTACCTGTACGTGGAGGAGCAGGAGTACCTCCAGGCCTACGAGGATGTCCTGGAGAGGTACAAAGGTATGTGGTTCTCTCCCCCCCACCCTCCCTAGCTGGGGCTGCAGGGCTGGACACAGACCAGACCAGCGGGGTAAAACCGTTACCTTGGCTTAACCAGAGCCGCCGCTGTGTGGTCACAAGGAAACAGGTGTCTGGATCCAATCTGGGGAATGAGCCCTTGGGTCCTTTTGGGTGCGATTCGGTGCCCCCCATGCTGGGAGGGTGGTCGGGTGGGCGACGGGTCCGGAGACACCCTTGGGGGGGGGGTATGGAGTGTATGTGTGGGAGGGGTTTCGTTTCCAAGAAGCACATTGCGTGTTTTTTTTTTTTTTTTTCTTTTCTTTCTTTTTCTTTTCTCCCTTGTAAAGGCTCTTAGCACTAGGCATAATCATACTTCTCCCTGGGAGGGTGGATCCCGATTAATTCTCCATGGGATGACCAAGGCATTGCTGCCCTCGCTTGGCACAGGGTATTGGTTAGCCTATTGAAAAGGTTCTGGGATTCTTAAATGGGCTATTTCGCCGCCGAGAGCATTACCAAGTCGTTTTTCCCCCCAAAATGACCCTATTTGACAAAAGTTTATGGATTGAAACTATATATATATATATATATATATATATATATATATATATATATAATAACATTTAAATTTACAAGTCTCACTGACTAAAGTCTTACCGCATCACACGGTCAAATAATGTTTATGATCCATATGGATATATAATATATATATAATATATATCCATATGGATCATAATATGGATATATATATATTATAATATATATATATATTATAATATATATATATATATATATATATATTATATATCCATATGGATCATAAACATTATTTGACCGTGTGATGCGGTAAGACTTTAGTCAGTGAGACTTGTAAATTTAAATGTAAAGGAGTGTATTTTGAGATGTTATTCTGTCTTATCCTTTGTGTTTGGGAAATTCTATGTCAAACTGGTAAATACTGATATTTCTAGTATTGAGTTTACATTGACTTTATGGCGAAATATAGCATTAGACAAAATGCACCTTCGCATCTTAAAGGGCCTTTTTGTCTCAGGAAGTTATTTTACAGTGTGTACAAAGGATCTCTTACGGTGGCTCCTAAAACTCTCTACACCCAGAGGTGGGTCACAGAGTCTTCATGTGTTAATAGTGAATAGTAGCAGCCTGTTTCAAAGATTGGGTTCAAATGATTTTGCATTTTGAATCTTTGCTTTGGTTTAAGATACCCAGTTTCTATAAATTGAATGGGGTCTTTACGGTTAAAACGCACATATTCATAGTTTTCTATTAGTTGGACATAGAAATATAAAATCCTGAATTTAGTATTTAAATTCCAGATCTCCAAAAAGCTCAAAACTCACCCACAAATGTGTTTTTATCTCTTTCAAAAACATGTTTTATTACTGACATGCTTTTAATCCATGTAGAATTTTGTAAACAGTACAGTCAGAACTCCTTTGTGCCAACACCCTTTTGTGTATGTATAATGCTGCCACTGAGCAAGTGCAGCGATGGTTTAGGCCAGTGGTCGGCAAACTTATTAGTCAACAGAGCCAAATATCAACAATACAACGATTGAAATTTCTTTTGAGAACCAAATTTTTTAAACTTAAACTTCTTCTAACGCCACTTCTTCAAAATAGAGTCACCCAGGCCATGGTATTTTGTGGAAGAGCCACACTCAAGGGGCTAAAGAGTCGCATGTGGCTCGCGAGCTGTGGTTTGCTGACCACTGGTAGGCTAAAGCACGTTTGTAGAATTTGTGCATGTACATATGTGCACATGTAATATGCTCATGGCTATATCTGTCCATGTAAAAATAAAATTCTTAACCGGCTATCTCCAGAACTTTACAAATTATAAATATCAGTATAGACTACTACTGTATTTTCCTGTGTATAAGACGACTTTTGAACTGAAAAAAAAGTCAACGGAAGCCAGGACCGGTTTGGCTCAATGGATAGAGCATCGGCTTGGGGACTGAAGGGTCCCGGGTTTGATTCCAGTCAAGGGCATGTACTGTACCTTGGTTGCGGGCATATCCCCAATAGGGGGTGTGCAAGAGGCAGCTGATCGATGACTCTCTCTCATCGATGTTTCTAGCTCTCTATCTCTCTCCCTTTCTCTCTGTATAAAAATCAATAAAAATATATTAAAAAAAAAGAAAAAAAAGAAAAGAAAAAAAAGTCAACGGAAAATCAGGGGCAAAAGACCAAAATTGCACAAAAATTACCTGCAGATCTTGACAGCAAAGTAAGTCTTTTCTTTGAAGTGGGGGGTAGTCTTATACAGCGAATATAGACCTAAACCTATGTTTCAACTGTAAAAATTAGGGGGTCGTCTTATACGCCGGAAAAATACATATAATTATATGTATATTTATTGAAGATATACACCTGTGCTCTTTAAAGTCAGAAAGACAAAGTCTGAAAGTCCTAAAGGGTATACATTTTTTACTTTTTAAAAATATTTTATTGATTTTCCACAGAGAGGAAGGGAGAGGGATAGAGAACTACAATAGAAACGTCGATGAGAGAGAAACATCAACCAGCTGCCTCCTGCACACCTCCTACCGGGGATGCGCCCGCAACGAAGGTACATGCCCTTGACTGGAATCAAACCTGGGACCTTGCAGTCCACAGGCCAATGCTCTATCCACTGAGCCAAACTGGTTCGGCCATTTTTTACTTTGAAAGAAATTATAGTTGGATGAGTTTTTTTGTCCCATCAAGTTTTACATCAGTGACACATGGGTGATTTCAGGTAACTTTGGAAAGGAATGTAACTCAAGTGCTGATTTGACTTGTCCAGAGGAAGCAGACATTACTTAAAAGCTTTTCTTCATTTGCTTTTAGAAGTAAAAGGAAATGAAAGATGTATAGGCCATTACAGTTCTCACTACACTGCATTTTAATTTTATCCTAATGATCAGTATTGCACATAATCAGGTCCTTTTCCAAACATATACTGCAAAATTTTGCTGAAAAAAGGGGCAGTGCTTACTTTCATCTTCTTTGTGGCTTTCAAATCAATTTGTTTTCGGCTTTACAGATGTTCTATATTTCATTTATGTTGGAAAAGAAAGTAAGAGTACTGGCCAGTGTATTACATGAAAAACTGGAGACCTGGAAAACTCATTGTTTCCTGATGTTTTGAAGCCGGTTATGATTTCCCATCAGTGTCCAATACGATGACTTCACTACAAGGCTTATTATCCTGATGACTTGCTATGGGGGCTGATCTAATCAGAAAAGAATGGCAGGCTTTGAACAGGGAGTGTCAGTTCACTAAACTTTCAAAGTACAGTTGCTCATTTTCTGAAATCATGCATAGTTCAAAACATGTTACATTCCCACTTGAACTTAAGAGGGGTTATTTTGATTTTTGTTTCTGGCAAAGTTTCTTGGTTACAGAATGAGTTTGCATTGAGCTAGAATATAATATTATCAGGTTGCCTTGTTATCATATGCCCAGCTGTTGAATAGTGCTAAGTAATAGAGCCAGCTGGAACCAATTCAAAATCTGTCTGTAGTCAGAAACGTAGAATTATAATAATCTATAGTGTTAGCATTTAGGAGTATTAGATTCAGATTGAGAATTTTGTTAGACTTAGTCCTCAGATGGCCTTGGAAGGACTTCAAACCCAGCTCTCTGTAGAAAAACAAGAATAGGGGCAAGTGAGGCCTAAGTATTTATGGTGTGGCCTATTCTGGTATCTTGCTTTGGTCCTTCTGAGTGAAAATAGGCAACTGTTCGCCGAATTAGAATAACACAGAAAGAGCTATTTGCTACAGAGAGGCATAGTGTTCTGATTCATATTCTAATCCTTTAACTTACAAAATAAGTTCACAACTATAATGTTCAGGGATCTGATTAAAAAAAATCACATTGCTGATACCACAGTCAGGGTGAATAAAAGCATTTATTTATGCATAACACCTTTACAATTATTATTTATGCTAGAAATATCCATATTAATAGCTTTCTTTCATATCTGTAGTAAATTACCCAGTCTATTTGTCATAAAATAATTTTTTTTTGGTAAATTAGCATGAAAGAGACAATGTTTTTTTGTCAGTGTAAGTAAACTAACTTACATGCTGCTATTATAATGAACTATTATATATTGTTATTAAAATCAATTAGCTGTCACTTTAATCTGTGGAATTCTGTGCTTTGAGTCTGCCATTAGAAGATTTTTATATTCTCACCATATTGTTACTTTTAAAAATATATGTGAAGATGAGATCATTAATGTGAACCCAATAAATTTTATCCAATATATTTTAGACTTATTTAAAAAGCTAAATGACTTTGGTCCAGAACAATGGATGTTTTCCTCTTGACCTGGAAATTAGTTGTCCTCAGACAATTGTAAAAAGTGTTTCATTATTATTCTCTATGAAAGCCGGATGGCAGATCTGTTACTTGTTTATACTATCACTAAAAACCCACTTCGATTATTTAGAAAAAAATCAAAATTTTCTGTTTTTCACAAAACTTTTGAGGAATTCCTTTAGTCCCTTCTGCCAATAGGGCAAT